AAGATTTAAGGCAATAACATATATCCGATTAGAGCGAAGACAGGTGTCACCATCTGGACAATAAAAATGAAACAATTTAAAAAAAATAAATCAATAAATCCTTGGTATAATCTCTCATCGACGTATCAAAACACATTTGAAATAAAAAGGAAGTACTATCAAATTCAGGAGCTCTCAATAAACCAAAATTTAAGAAGCCTTTGCCAAGTCAAATATGATTCCTAGCTATTTTTACTGCTTCTTACCCCTGGCTAAGAGGCAACCTACATCCATGGATTAAAGGCAGAAAAGTAACAGAGATGGATTTCAGACATTTGTGCAAGAGGCTTATAAAACCATGTCCAATGCAAGCATTATTATCTAATACACACTAAAAATCAATTTCTTCCTTCCCTAAGAGTTTCCTCTTCCCCCATTTGCACCGAATGATGTAAACTGAGCATTCCTTTCCTTAGAAGCTTCTAAACTGTGCGTAACAGACCACAGTATCCAAACTGGCTTTGAAATTGGTCATACAGCCCAGTGCTCAACAGACCCAGTACCTGAATCAGCTCACTTCAAGCTAGCTCAGGTACTCCTACAGTGCTGCAGCACGTCGTATAAAAGTACTCAAGGCAGACATCAACGTATGGAAAAAACTATTCCTGCTACTTCAGGATGTAATCGCTTTGCTGCACAAATGCAACAACTTTTCTTGTTTAAAAACCAAAACAGCAAAGATGTCTGCTCTTGATTTGCTGTCAAACCACAGCAGCCTTTGGTGGACGTGCTTTCAACATTTGTTGTTAAGGGTTATACATTCTGAAACCACTCTGAATGAGGAATTGTAACGCTGAATTCTAGACAGGCATTGAGACAAAACATAGGGCTGTATACACCATTCTCATGCTCTTCTGTACTTTAGTTTTGCAAATTCTCTCACTCAAGATTGGTCCAACGGCCTCTCAGTGGAGGCGGATCTCTCTTCCTCGGTGTGTTTTTTTCGGATCACGCACTCTGACAGGCAGCAAGAGACATCCAGGTCTTATTTCCACCCCACCAAGGATGACTTACCTGAGATTTTGTTGCCAGATGATGTTGGACCAGCTGCAGATGCTATAGGACAGGGTGCACAGACGGAAGAAGGTGGAGTCTGCCCCTTAAGCGAGCTTGTTAGAGGTGTCTAAAAAAGCACAAAACCACCTCAGGTCAGGTCAGTCTGGCCATTAACAAAGGTCCTTCTGAGAGTCATGCAATGACTGAAGAACAACTTGGAGGAAGGTGGTCGAAGCACTTCAAAGTGCCTTTCAAGCTTGAGCCCATTATGTCCTGACACTTAAACACAGGGTCAATACTCAAGTTTTTCAACAAATCTCTCGCAGAGGCCAGTAAGCCTCCATGGGCATAGCTCAGTGATTCCAGTGGACAAGGAGCGCTGTGTGGTTTTTTGATGTGTGGACATAAAACCTAGCAGCTTGTCGACCAACAAGAAATGTTTTCAGCAGAGTAACAGGGTAGGTAAACTACTCTCTCCCTTGATTGCCTAGTGCTTTTTTCTTTTGGTGAAATTTAGGTACATCCACCTAATACAGTTGCCTTTGTTGTTAGTTGTGACCCTTGCTGCTGCAAGGCTGCAAGTCTTCAAGACAGTGAAAAGGCAAGACATAACAAAGATATGCCCAGCATCACTCTGTCGAGGTCACAGATAAATAAATGGTTTGCCAAGAACGTGGGGCAAGCCGTGAAAAGAGATTTTTAGATGACCTGTTCACCAACAATTAAACCCCCAAACTGTGCTGAGCGTGCCCAGGTACAGTATTCCCCAGGGAAAGGGTTCTAGGGCGAGATACCTGTTTAGCTTGATTTGTAGCAACAGTTGCCAAAACTTGGTGGACTGCCTGGGCTGCAGAGTGAGGTACAGATGATCTTAAAAAGAAAAATTAAAACGTTAAGTGAACGACTAGTCTAAACGAGGATTTCCTCGCCTCTCTAAAAGCACAGCTTCCAGAAGTCTTGAACAACCACCGCTATTGAAGATTCCACACACGACTCCAAACGAACAAATCTGATTAGAGAATAAACCTCTTAAATGAATCAGGCACATTTAACAAAGAAGTCTGCAAATGTGTTTAAAGCTCTAGACTTAAAACGATCAAGTCTTCTTCACATACTCTTGTCTCTGAAGAGAGCCAGGCCTTTCTGTTTTACAGGGAGTTGATGAAAAATCAGCAGGTAAAGGGATTACAATTTTATGCTTAGTGGATAACAAATTTAAGAAGCTTCCTTTGTAGTGTGGAACCCAGACAAGTACATGCAACTCTCAGAAACGCTGAGCAAGGAGACAAAGCTGGGTGGAGGATGGGGGGTGGGAAGCACTTCATGTCTTTTAAGTGTAGTATGAACATTAATGAAGTCATGGCAAGAACTGTGATAAAATTAACCTATATTCTACATTATAGGTTCGGGGATTTTGACCATGAAATAAATTGTACAACATCAGAGCCCACAGACAATCGCTGCAGAACAGCAGCTACTTCTGTGGTGAACCATCTTCACTAGGCATTAACACACCAGATCACTGCAACTTGGGAACAGCCGCGGAGTTTTAGCATCTCCTCAAGTCTTCGGCTCACCAGGTTCAGCAGCTTAAACGGCCAATACCAGAAGCTTTCAGAAGCTTAAGTTTAACACTGATTGCATTCTTTGAGTGGCAAAGGCCAGCCTTCCCTTATCCTAGCAGGCTCTTTCCATCTTGACTCAGCCCAGGTGTTCCCTAAGGCAACAAGCCACCTCCATACTACAGAAAGGGCTGAGGCTGCAAATCCCAGACAGTAAGGGAACCTGGGTGTCAAAAGTTGTATATCTCCTAAAGCACGAGCACTCCCAAACTGCATTTACTATTTGGTCAGCTACAGGCCAATTCCCAGAAGTTTCCTATGATATTCCAAAGGAAGGTGACACACACGAAACTGTAATTTTGCGTAGCCATTTGGTCTTGGATGGGGTTTTGTGCCTTAAAACAGCTTTGCATTACTAGTAAGTCCTTCCTTCCAGCAATGAGTGCTCTTCTGCCTACATTGCACATCCCAGATTTGCCCTCTGCCCAGAGCAGAAGTAAAGCAAACAAAGAAAACTTCAGATTAGCACTGGAAAAAGTCCACGTTGGGAAGGTGCAGCTGTAAATTTCAAGTTCATACGAACCCTGAACACAGAAGAAAACAACAGAAGGTCTGTGAAAATCCTGATAGGGTGGGACCTTTTCCCCAGCAAAGTCTCGAGATCACTTGACCCACAGCTTCTCTGATAAGGCTACGAAAATGATGGGTTTGACTTCAGTTGTGGAAAGAGGGGTTTTCTGCATTGAAAACTCTATATAGTAACTGGCCTGGGACCACCAACGCATCTAGCCACGGGCCATTGAACAATTGATAACAACTGAAAAATCATTACTGCTTAACAACCCGAAAAGAGTGCTGTGGCAGCAAAAGAGAGCTGGGATGTCTGAAGTAGCAAAAACCGATGAATTAACTTTGCTGGGTGAATGCTCTTTATTTTAGCGCTGAATCTGACGGGCAGGCATGGTTCATTTGGGTAGAATTTTTAAAAGAGTACATTTTTATGAGGTCAGCTATAAAATAAGCCTGTAAAAAGCCTTCAAGACACCAAGCTAGCTGGTGCTCTATAAATTAGAGAGGTCAATCAATACTGCCAGTCTCAACCACTTGAAAGTAAAACACGTCTTTAACTACAGCTCAAGTGAAAACCAATCTCAGATATGTATCGCTCACTCATGTCCTTGTCTATGTCCAGCCACTACTCTTTACTTTTTTCATCACAGTTTTGAAGAGACAAAGGGCGGAGAACTCTTCCCTGTCATAACACTGCTTTTAGCAAAATTGCCCAAGCAGAGCTGTTTGCAAATTTTACGTTCAAAAGATGTAGCACTGCCCTTCCCTCTCTCAGTTTATCACTTTTAGGACAAAATAAAATCGTAAAAAGCTCCCAAACTGTTTCTCAGTTAAAATGCACAAGAAACTATGAAGTAAATTTCAAGGTCAGCAGCTCAGTGTGGCCACTGTAAGACTCTGTTCCCTCTCTGAAAATCTGCATCAAAGGATGTTCACCTTTTTTCTTTGACAGTGAGGAGTATACACACACGTGAAGAGCACTAGACAACAGAAATTGTTCCAGGAGCTGCACATATAGCCCACAGTTATATGGATAAAGCATTTGTAACTCCACGTGGACATATAATCAGATGTATGTGGCGTGTTTATCCTGCTTTATGCAGTAAGCCCAACTTTGCTCAGACTTTTCAGTCGTGCCTTTGCCTCCCCAGCCCAGAAACGGCCATGTGTTATCTTGTCTTAAGCCACAGCAGGAACTTCAAGCAAAGACAGTTTCAAGGTCGTTATGATGACAGGGAAAAGGACTAGTTCTGTGGCTGGTGACAGAGCCTGGTGATAAGACAGAAATCTCTGGAATGAGCTGAGCTGGCTTTGTCTGCAGGAGGCAGAGAAGCAGGAAAGCCAAGTGTTACAGCTAACTCACGATAAATCTTAACAAATTCAAGGTTAAATACCAGCAGACAACATTCATGATTTACTCACGAGGAAGACAGCCTTGCAGCTCTGCATTTTTTCAAAGTGACTAGCCTCTACAGACACCCAACCCTGATTGGAAAAATTTGAGACAAGTTTCCAGAAAAGCCAGAGCACAGCTCTCCCTACCCTCAGGGGGTGAATGTGGGAACAGATAGAAGAGGCGTAACTCCAGAGAAGGTTTCTTCTGTAATGGATGACAATGGAGAAGGAACACCATCTGGACAGCTTAAGGCCACACACCACACCCAGTGACAGAGGGGTGCACTTCCCCCACAGAAAGAGGCAGAACAGAGGTAGTGACTGGAGAGATACCAGATCCAAAGTACATATTAGCAGTAAAACTGCTGGACCCCAAAAGAAGAGGATGCACTAAAGCGCATTTCACAGACTAATGGAAGAGGGAGTTAATACTGGTCGAGTCGTTTGTTCAGATCAAGCCATTAGCAAATCCTTGAATGACCTGGAAAGAAAATATTTTTTCCTTTCATTTCACAAAACCAATGCTCTTCTCTAAGTGCATCCACTTTAGTTCTTACACAGTCAGACTCTGTAAAATACTACTGCTGCTCCCCGCTGGCAGACGTGCTCTACTGCAAGTGTTACCAAAGGCTACCAGAAAGACGAGAAGCACCCACTCACCCTATTACCGCAGAGACAGCTGGAGTCAAGGCACCAGTCTTGAGTTCCCGCACATTCACCACCTGAGGAACATTTTTCAGAGTCGATTCAGTCAAGGAGGTGCTTACAGCTTTAAGGAAAAAAGAAGAGGGGGGAAAAAAAAAAAAAAAAGGTAAAGATGACCTCCATATTAAGCCCTTGATTCAATATCGTGCCTATGAGTTACTCCAGAAGAAATCCATCCAAGTTTCTAGAAGGTACGTGGTGCATCCGGCCCAAAACATTTGGTATCTCAGCCTTCAATCAGGACACCAAAGAAGTGGACAGCTTCCTATGGAGTTGGTACATTTTTCGTTGTTAGCTGCCCAAACTTAATTATTCTTACAAACTCTCCCTTACCTACATTGCAACATCTTAGGTTAACAGAAATTATCTGTGGAGTTACACCCCAGCCTCTGCCAGAATTCACGTTACTAGTCCACCTTCTGCACTTAGGCTCTCCTTGGGCAAGGATCATAGACTAATCCGATTCCCCTACCAGTAACTGAGTTTTGCTTCTTTTCTGCACTGATGCTGCAAGTACTGGGGAAGCACCAAGAAATATCTAAAATGATTCCCCTACCAGTAACTGAGTTTTGTTTCTTTTCTGCACTGATGCTGCAGTACTGGGGAAGCACCAAGAAATATCTAAAACCAAACAAGAAAAGCTTAAACTGGGGAACCTTTCTCCTGTCAACTCAAAACTTTAAAAGCAGATACAACGCTTAACTCAACAGTTCACCTTTAACTTTTCAAGATTAACATTGGTTTACAAGTCAGATCTTTAATTGCATGGCTAATAATGAAGAGTCATCAATATAGGCCAGTGACATCCTTTTTCTGCTTGCCAACGGTTTCTTGCACACAGATCAATGGCCACGCCAGGATCTCCTATGAGTCATTGACATTTCTGCCACTGCACAGATGAGAAAAGGTACAAAGAAACCTGTGATGGGAGTTTCTCAGACATTTTGTACTAGCAGCTTACACTAAGAAGGAAGACAAAGAAACACTGGACAGCTCAGAAGTGTAACAAATACTGATCTGTGAACATTTTATTTGATGATCTTCTCCTTTGAGACCACTAAATTCCTGTAAAAGCCACATTCAGCTGCTCAGAGGTCACTTGGGCAATTAGCCATCCTTTTACCTGGGGACTGGTTAGCCATCTGCCTCCGCAGAGCTGCAGCAGCAGCAGCTTGTGGTGCTGGAACAGTGACAGTGGGAGCAGGGGCCCCATGTTTCACAGTCTTTGTTGCAAGCATTGTACTGTCTGCCCCTTGTGGTATAATTCTGTTTGAAGATGTAGGCACTAAAAAACAAATGAACAAAAACATTACAGTTCACAGAATCACAGAGTGTTAGGGGCTCACCATATCTCTACAAAACCAGGGAGACTTGAAAGCCTTTGCTGAACTACGGTTCCTCTAAGTACACAGCTTCCTTCTGACAAGACTGATGTGCAGGCCTTTTAAACAATCAACAACAGTCTGTCCCTGGCAGTTTCTGTATATCCTAATGAATTCAGCAAGTAAGTCTCAATAGCTGTCATCTCAATGCATTAGATGACTTTCAGTTGGCTGTCACAGACACTTCTGCTGACACCTTACTTTTCTCTCTGGCTACAGAGATTAAAAAAACCCCTCTTTCGCACAAGGAAAACTGAATGTATGCAAATATCGTTCTTACTGTGACTCACTGGGCTCAGAACTCCTAATGCTGGCCACATCAACCAAATGCAGTAGTACTTCAGTCTCCTGGTCTTCGGGCACTATTTTAAGAACTAATGGCATACACTTAAGGCAAATTACTATAGGAAGACAACGCTGGTCAGTACTATCTGAAAGAAACAGGCTATCAGAAAAACACAGTCAATGAATCAAGGTATTTTAGCACTTTGAGCTCAGTTCCTGACAATACCACTCTGCTAACTGCTTCTGGAAACTTGGCAGTATAAATCTGCATGCTGCACTCTCACTTCTCCAGGACCTGAAGCACTGGCAATGGATACAGTGGTTAAAGATTCCTATTCTGCATGTGTTCTTGTTGGTGAGACATTGCAAAAACAACTCACGCAAAGAACCCAGGGAGAGGTGCTGTTTCCCAAAGGCTGGAGGCTGAGCCATCAAACCAGGCTGGATAGAGGGAGTACGGACCACAGGAGCATGACGGGGGACTTGGACTGGAGCAGCCTCTTCTTCCTGGTCCACTGCCTGCGAGTCGTCATTCTCCAGCGACTGAGAAACCGAGGATGTTGAACTGACTTCATCCAAATCTTCGTAATATCTTGTGGACAAGAAGGCAGATCGGGACAAACTTGCTGCAATATCAGAAACAAAATCATGTGTGTGTATTAAGTTGAGGGAACATCCAGCCTAACAGGCAAGATAGAGACAACCTGTTTTAGGATTGGCATGTTTTAATCCTGCATTGATGGGATTTGACTTCTTAACTGCCAGGAAAGGCAGCCTTCAACAAGATGGTAACCAAAGGAAATTCTTACTTTGGGGAACAGGATGGGGATGGGGGAAACAGGAAATAAGAAGCAGGGGTTGACGAGTGAGAAGCCAAAGCTAACTTCAGGACTGATTCCCACAGCAGGTAAGTCACCCTCCCGGAAAGCATTTCAGAAGTCTATGGTAACTGAAGGTTTACCTGGAGCTGTTGACCTAATTGGTGGAGTTTTCCTCTTGGCTAGGAAATTCCTCAACTGTGCCTGTTTCACGGGGGATAATTTAGCTGGAAAACCAAAGACAGTTATTAGCCTATGATTAAACTGCAAGTCAAACAAAGTAATTCACATCTATGATGTGAATGCCAAAAAGAAAGAATAAATTACCAGGTACTTTAGGCACAGGTTTGGGTTTGACACGGGATTCCAAGGTAGTTTTCATCAAGGCACTGCGCAGGCCTTCAAGGTCACTGTCAAAACTGGGACAAGGCAGAGCAGTGAAAAATCATGATCAGCAGAAAGAAACCAACCAGTTCAGGAACAAAAGGGAGCCAAAAGAAGCCACTAGAACCATTGGCTTATTTGGAAGAACAACTGGCTTCTTTAGATACTGTGCTATTTAAAACACATGCATCTTTATTTTGGAAACTCCCAAGAGCCATTCACTTCTCCCCCTGAATTCAGACAGACAACCAGCAGTACCTCAGCCTGGGACTCTATTATCCTTTTACTATAGAATACATAACTTTTAGGGGACGTTTTTGATAAGCACCGAACAGTGTCTCTCAGAATATAACCAATAAGCTTCTATATCACCTGAGCGTAGTATAATATCATTTTTAGGACCTCCTGTCCTCCCATATCATGTCCATAAAATCTCATTCTTTGGAGGATGCACCCTTGCACATTGCTGGGGGCAAGACAGGAGTGTCAACATCACTCAGGAACTCGTGTTTCACATACCTTTGAGCACTGCTAAGAGAAGACGCGTCACTGGGAACACTCCACTGGGACGTCTGGTTATACAGTCGGAGCTGCTGCAGGCTGTTCACGAGCTGGTTTAGTCTCTTCCTCTGCTGATTGATTATTTCCCGGTTATTAGCCAGGGTGTTGAACAAAGTCTCTCGCTCAGGAACTATCAGACGCCTTAAGACATCAGATCAAGAGACAGGGCTAAGGACCATTCTGTGTAACCGGCCACAAGCAGGCATGCACACACAGAGCAGTTTAGTGATCCCAGCTATTTGAACTCCACGAGGTCAAACGTGGCTTTGTTTGAACACCAAAGCAGTTCAGTTCATCTCAAATGCATATTTCTCCATTGGACATGCTGCAAGTTTATTCATTTAGCTCATTTACTTCAAGATGTTTTATTTATTAGAAAGGTTTCATTAGCTACCACCAATGGACAGATCTGGTTTCTACAAAGGTTGTTTTACAGTTTTTTCTATAAGCACTGTTTACACTGTACACAGAGACACAGCAAGCTTATAGCATATAAGAAGCCAAATAGTCTGAACCTATAGCTCCCATTAGGTGTCTCAGTCAAGCTTTATTCCTAGATCCCCTTGGAAAAAGATCATACTGTTAAATGGAAAAAGGCTTTTGCCTGTTGACTAGACTAACGCTCGATTCACTGACAAGTTCCTTACAGTTCCTCACAGCATTCAATTTCAGGTACTTACTTCTGCTTTCTCTTCTGTTCCAGGTGCCGGTCCCACTCCAAATCCAGAACGTCGTTCACATCCTGAACAGCAAACTTCACGTACTGGTGCAAGCGTCGAATTTCCTACCATGCAAAATAAAGTCAGCTTTTAATTCACTTCAGAAATCTCAGTTTCAGTTGAAGAAGCTGAAGACCCTTCGGGCTCCTTCAGTCCAAGCCATGTGGCACTTGTCTGAATTTCTGCCTGGAAAGTTTTATCAGCACAACAGAACCCAACATAGTGAAAAGTCTACTTATCGATCAACGGGGTATCCACAGGGCTTGGTCTGGACATTTTATCCCAGCTCTCAACTAGAAATAATACTCTCCATAATGTTTGCAAAACATTGCTAGGTCTTTACAGAAAGGGTTCTACAAACATCAGGCATTATACAACACAAACCTTATTTCAAGTCTCAATTCCAGAACATGAGTCATTTGGTCCCATTTTACAATGTTGAAACTTTTATAACAATTATAGGTGATCAAAGCTTTGCAGGCTGTTCACGTGGCTCTAGGATACCAGCGTTCACAGACTATGATTCATGAAAGCATTCACAAATGCTTACAACTCCCACATTAAGGCGAGGAATTAACTTGATTTTTATAGGTAGGAAAGGAAAAAAAAAAAAGCACAGAGAGTAAAGCGACTTAGCCATGACCACATAGTTGCACAACTGCCACAACTAAGCCAGAGACCTCTGGCTACAAGCCCTGCTCCCTAAACAAAACCAGGATTCGGTCTCATTACTGTCACCCCTCCAGCCTGTCATGGCATGAACATGTCTTGAACTCTGATCTCGTAAAGGGGAATGGAAACTGCAGCTGGTTTCAGCTCATCTCAACAGAATGCTCACTCAAATACAAGGATGAAGCAGCCAAGTAACACAGCTTGGGAAAAATGCCACTGGAACTATTTTCAAGAAATAGAATGAAATTCTAATGTGACATACCCAACCTGAAACCAAATCCAGTCCTCCTGGGGGCTTAGTGCTACACGCTATCAAGCACGGGTTGCCTGTCTCTAGCCACTATGAGCCTTATATAGCAGCAGCTCTCTGGACAGCAAATCAACGTGGCTGGGCAGCAGAAAAGCCTCAGGATCTTTAAAACTTCACTGAAAACTAACAGGTGAAGTTGATCACGTGAGCTTTGCTCACCCAGCAGAATGGGGATGATGTAGACTGAACAAAATTTAAGAGTCAGACTGGAGCCGTCTTTCTCGTGAACCTTCAGAAAGTTGACCTAAAAGCTGTCTTCTTGCATTCCAATCTACTTCCACTTCTCTCCCATTCTGTTATTCTTTCCTCATGATCCTCTCCCTACATCAGTGAAACAAGCATTTTAAGACTACCATCTCTCTGAAGTCACAAGCATGAGCTTGAAATGTCAGAGACACACTGGAGGTCAAAGCAGGCATACAATCAGACTGTGAATCAATCTACAGAATCCAGGTGAAGATTAGCGATCAGACCTAAGAGAAATTACTTCATGTCAGCTGATTTCTAGTAACTGTCTGTGTGCGTGCTCTTGATGCCTACTGTAACAAAGATGATACTCAATTATGTCTTCAGCCTGCTAGTCAGACTTCTTGAGGGGAACTTATCAGGGTATAAAAGACCAAGTATCATTTGTGGGACACATTCACTCTATTTTGCTTATGGTTAAATAGCCCTCTCATCACCAGAGCTGTAACAAAGAGTGCTTCATCCCTAGTTTCTTTCATATCTTTGAAAGCCTCTTTATGTACTGCTGGTTATTTTCCTTTGTGCTCCAGCTTTTAGAATAGCATTTAGCTTTATGCTCCGCCATCCATGAAATTAACCACACAATTCTGTAAGTCAAAATAAATCATCGAATTGTTCCATAAGGCGCTCGCTGAAGATAAAAATAATTCCAGGAACTCTTCTACAAAGTGTTGAAATAAAACCATATTCTTTTAACTGAAATCCCTGAGCAAACACTACAGGCTGAGAAGGAACAGGATGTCAAGAGCCACATTCTAAGCTTAGAATAAACCACTTCCCTTCAGAAGGAGTTTTGAATCATCACTGCAAATAGCAGCAACATAGAGGAACATCAGGAGAGGATTTTCAGCATGTCTTGCAAGCTCATCACACTTTTACTAGACTATGTTAAGAGAGCAAATGCCCAGGGCAGAACAAAACTGATGGGCACTTGCACATGCAACCCTCAGTTTTATTGTATTTAAAATTCTCAATTAGAAGTTGGCTGACACGCTTCATACCTGAAGCTGTGCTTCACTCTTGGGATCCAAAGGTTTCTTATAGAGCAAGTGTAAATAGCTCGAGCTACGATTCTGGCCGTTCTCTTCTCTAGTCTCTTCTAACCCTGCAAATCCCTCCAGCAAGGTTGTCTTCAGAATACTAATATCTCCGTGAAGTGACTGCAAATAGAAATAGAACAGAGGTTCAAAGTAGTGTTTTTTCATTGCCGTCTCTAGCACAGGGGTTTCTGCAAGTGTCTGCCTGAAAGCACAAATGCAAATGTCACCCCCACATTAAAGCAGCACAGTCAGATGTTCCATCTACATCAGTTCAGCTTTAGCAGGTTAAGTAGGAACATCAGGTGAGGAACAGTCATTGCTGGGGAGCTAAACAGTTTGGAGATACGCTGCTCACCTCTGTTGTCTCTTTAATTTCCAAGAGGAAGGTGTGAAGATCATCTGACTCTGTTCGCAACATCTTCATTTCTTCTGGAGTACCAACTTGGAAACAGGCTTTGGAAGTTCGGGCCTTCAGTTCCTCCATCTCCTTTTGAAAATGGGCAATCTACAAAGTCAAGCGGAAGAAAGTGCAGCCACTGAAACACAGCAGGGTCTGGAACAAACATCGCAGCTCTCGGATGATGGTTCTACTGCACCACAAACACCTGCCACTTTGCAGCCAAACCAGGAAATTCTTCTTGAACATTAACAGGAAAGGATACTCAAATTTTCCAGCACAGCAACTGAAATTAAAGATCCCTGAGCAGGACACACAAACAGCAATTACAAACCAGGCTGATTATCTTGGCAAAAATCTCCATTACGATTCCTAAACTACTGACAGACACCACCAGAACATAGGTGAACTGAAAGTAAGTGTCCGAGTACTTATGCAGCGGTCTTACAGCTTCTAAAATGAAGAAAACTGCTTGAAAAACTCACCTCCTCTCTGATTCCTGCTATGACAGGGTCTGAGTCCTTCCACTGGTGGGTCTGCTTCTCTAAAGCTGTGCTGGGGAGTGCTGATTTGCTCTGGAAAAAATAACACCACAAACCAAAACCAAAACCAGTATTAGGGATATATCCTTAGCAACAGGGAGCTTAGAATATCAAAAGGCCTCTGATGGAAACTCCATTCAGCCACCAGTCACCAAGGAGACAATTGTCATAAGCATAACTACTAGCTCCACAGTAAACTAAGACTGGTGCGTGCATGTCTGAAGTAGGACTGCAGATTACCTGGAGATACGTGGCTGAAGCTTTATGAAAGCAAAGGAAATGTTTGTGTGCTGCTCTGTATTACTGCTTTGATTTTAATATCCAACAAACTTGGTATCTTTCTTAATACACAGTCAAGGCATCTCCTGACTGCTTATTAGAAAAGCTGTGAAACCTCATTTCCGTAAGAACAGAAAGAATTAGTTTCTACAACTCTGGTCCTGACAACATACATCAAAACACAGCTCTCTGAAGACACGCAGAGAACGTCATTTTAGTCCCACAGATTTGCTACTATTTCGATGCCAAAAGCTAGTTAATTCTTTGACCTAAGAACAGTCATTCGGTCCAATGAATTCTAAGCAATTATGGGCCATGTAAAACATTCACCCTCTAAAGAATCCTCTCAAGTTCCCATTACCTGAGTAGAGCTTGGCTTTGCTGCAGACGGAGTGATTTTGGCTGTCTTCTGCAATAAAGTAGCTGAAGGCATATTCTGAGCAGGACGTGCCACTGGAATTCAAAGAGGAACAGCAATTCATTAATTTATACAAAGCTCGAGAAAACAGGTTGTGATCAGACACACCCATAACCACCGCTGTCAAATCCCAAAACAATAGTGGTACGGGCCCCTGTGCAAAACCACACCTTCCTTAGGTGCTGCTTTACTCCCATCCAACTTTTCTGCTAACAGTAACAACTGGCACTCTCCAATATCTGGCTGTACTGGTCCTGAAGGACCTCAAGACCCCCCAGTCACATGATCATTTGAGAGATGGAGTATTTTTCTGCTAACAAATTAGCGCTATCTAATTTAAACTCATTTGTGACCATTTTGAACTCCAGATGCAAGGAAAGGCATCGATTTGTGTGACTGCTCAGAAACATTCATCATCAGAGCTGTAATACAGAGCACTGAAAATGCCAGAACTTCTGGATGAACTTAGGAAGCCAAATATATTCACAATTGGCTCTCTGGGGAACCAAGTGCACAAATGGAAAGAGCCCTCAGTATCAGTACTAAGTCTGTCACATCATTATAGCGTGCAAATCCAGAGTTCTGCTGCATCAGGAAAAGCAGCAGGAAAATCAGGAAAGAAAGAAGCCAAACGTCCCCAAAACTTTTAGAACATTGTTTATAATGCACTATTCCCAACAATATGCATCAGACTCCTACCTGCAGCAGACACAGGGGACGAAGCCTTCAGTGGTGTGGTAGGAGAGGCTGCGAGGGGCGTGGACTGGCTCAGAGGACCTCCAGAAGCAGTTTTTGACGTGGTTGAGAATGAAAACATTGTGGAAGTGCACTGACCACTGCTGCTAGTGGGAGTAGAGGTGTCTACAGCAGCGAACCTGCAACAGAAAGAACATCTTTCAGCTCTGAACTGGTCCTGGCTGTCTTCCTTGATCCAAAATGAAGCACCAAGTTCTAATGAATTAACACCCTCTAGGATGAGCAACAACTCAAGCTCCAGATAAGAAATGGCAAGTGTAGCTTCTGGAGAGAGTGGGAAAGAGCCATTCGGGTTCATTTCTGAGTATGTGGAACCACAAAGACCACGACCACAGACCTACCCAGTAAACAAAAGCCAAATGCCAGTAAAAAGCACCATCCTACTTCAAAATGCACCTCATCATTTTGCACCAAAGCACCAACTACAGCAAATCTGAGCTGCCCTTCAGTGCCATCCCCGCAGCAAGGCTCAAACAGAAATTCTGCAGGAAAATAGGAATTTCTATTCATCTGCAAACTCAGCTCCTCAAGGCAGCCAATCTAAATATTCAGCCAATTCACAAGCGTATCATTTGCTTTATATACAAAACATAAAATTTAAAAAGCTGTAAGAGCTACCATCAGATCCTGGTGTAGTAAAGATTTTTCTAATTAAAAATTAATCATTTGAACCATCAGAAATTTCTTATGATGCATTTGCATGAAAATTGCTCTCCACTGAAAGCAGCTCCAATTAACACAGCTCTGTGTTTTAAACCATTCTTTCCAAAAACAACGAGCAAGTCTCAGGATTTGAAGGGAAGAACGGGTATGTGAAATCTGAAAACACTCATCACTCAGATCCATTTTGCATAGTTTCTAATCAATATTTCTTTCAGTCAGCATGAACAAGCTTTGAAGATTTCAGAACCTGTGTTCAGTGACCAAGCATCCATTTAAGAACAAAACCAAAAGGTCTGATACCTTCTTCACCGAGTGGAACAGAAATCCCTCAGCTATGGATACAGCTTCTCTCAGCTCTGCGAACTACTCTTTAGGTTGGGGGTAAGGAACCTTGAACAAACAGTCAAAGAAACTTGTGCTATCACCACCACACTAAACCAGCCCGAGACATAAAGGATTTCGAGTCCCAGTGTTCCCCAAGAGTCTTTAACCATGATTTGCATCAAACCAAGGTATGGGGTTACTGTTTGATGCCTAAGAAGTAAAGATATGAAAAAAGTAGGTCTCTGGCAATTTGTCAAATTATCAGTCTAATTTCTGGCATCATCCCTTGACTAGTATTTTGCCCATGAACAAAACCATAGAATGTACTGGCTTGGAAGGGGCCTCTAAAGGTCATGTAGCCTAGCATGGGAAGCACTGAGGCTTTTCACAACCAGATAGCGACATCTTGGATAAAGAGAGGCTTCCTCAGTGCCTTCCTGGGAGCACGGGGAACAGCTGTCAGGGCAAAAAGCCAGAAACTATCTTCAGAACTACCATACATTGCCCATGCCTGGAGCAATTTAACAATTATCCAGCCACTGCAATAACTACTGTATCTATTTACTTTTCATTGAGGTTCACTTTGACTGAAGAAGGTGAAGGGGCAAAAGATGACTTCTGTGCAACAGGTGTCGTGGAGAGTGGTGGCCCAGGTGAGCTGTCTGCAGCTGGTTTAAAGTTCATGGATCCAAACGAAAAGGAGGTGGCAGTAGCTGTAGTCGTGCCTACAGAAGGAGCAGGAGTCATGGATGCCTTAGGAGAAGCCGAGGAGAAAGAAAACGTCGCTGCTCCAGTCAGACTGGGAGCCAGGGCTTGTGTGGAGGCCTCAGTGGCAAAGGGGTAAGGCGGAGGATCGCTGCCCGTAGAGCCAGGCATCTTCACGGCTGAAGGCGTAAAGGAAAAAGCAGCTGCTCCCGTCCCTGCAGCAGGCTGACTCGAGGCAGGCGCAGAAGCAGCAACCCCTGGTCCTGTGTCAGGCTTTAAAGAACTGGGAGGAGTGGTTGGAGTTGTCGCGGTGCTTCCTGCAGAAAGACAAATGGGAAGGATGAGACTCACTTGGCTGCGGTGACTAACGGCAGAAGGTGCTGCAAGGCCAAACGCTGTTTGATGGGGACAGTTCAGCGCCGTCTCGCTCGCTGGACAGACGGTGCAGTGAGGAAGAGAGATGGCAGAGCTGGGTTTCCAGTCTCCAAACCCAGCAAGTGATACACAAACTGCACAAAGTCCAAGCCATGATCAATACTACAGTCTGTCTAGATTAATGTTGTCTGGAATTTCCTGTGAAAAGGCTTCACCTTTCTCCATTGATTTTAATGAGGTTCCTGACACCTCAAATAAAACAGGCTGTCAGCACCCAAGTCAGCCAGTGCTGCAGAGAGGCAGACTGCCAAACATAAGCACTCTGTTTGGGGAAGGAGAAGCAAATTTGGGCTTAGGGAAGAAAACAGCGGGTCTGCAATTACTGCATGCATGCAAACCAGCAACACAATCAGCTTACCTGCCTGCCCTGGCATAGGGAACTGCCTACTTCACACTGTACATGGCAATACATATAAAACTCAGATAAAACTACTACTCTTCACCCGCTAACACAATTTTCACAGTGCTGCAGAAAGCTATTGTTTAAACAAGCTTTTGCTGCAGTCAAACACCTTAGCTCACATATGGAGTAAAACCATCACCTCTCTGCAGCATACAGACCATGCTCTGGGTCTGCCCATGCTTGATCCTTGTCCCCAGGCAGAGCCTGCAGTCACTGCTGCAGTTCCAGTTGTATATCCCAAAGCTGGGCAAAGGGCCTCCTAGAATTGCTTTGGTGCTGCTCTCCAAAGGCTGATTGCACAGCAAAGCCTAAGTGCACAGTCTGCAAACTGCTTGAGATCCCCCTGACGAACAGGACTAGACAGTTTCACACTGATGCACAAAAGACAGAACAGTCTTGGGTGCACAACACACCGAAGAACTGCTCCCCATTATCATTATAAATCAAAAAAACCCACATTTTCTGTGACCACATACATGTCCAACTATTAAACTTACAGATGAAGATGACAAATATCCACAAATGCAAGTGTTTCCCTAACCCACTGGAGCACTTACCTGCTGACTTTGGAACTCTCTCCCCTACTAACAGCAGTGGCTCCGGGGTCACGATAAGCGATCTGACCCCCGGGTTTTGATTGATCATGTAAAACGGGCAGAGCACACCATCCGTAGAGAGCAAGATCAGGACTGGAGCTGGAGCAAGGGTCTTGTCATCACCTGCCAGAGACCACACACATGTAAGTCCTGCAGCCAAAGTTTCCTGTTCCGATCCTGGCACTGGCACCTTCATGTGACTTGCTTAGCACAATATTTCTTACATTTCTCCCTTCTTGCTATCACTTGCGTCTTTTTTCCCTTGCTTCTCCGTGAATGCCCAATTATCTTTTTTTCCTTCTTTATTCCTTCCTATTCCTGACTTCATGTTTCATAAATTCATAGATGAAGGGTTATTTCAACAATCAAATGTCATCTCCTGAATGACAAAGCCCAGATTTCACCCGTGAATTCTTGTCCCAAGCCTTTTCAGACTTTGAAGCAGTCCTTTTTCTTCGCCTATACGCTGCTCCCTCCTTCAATCCTCTATGCCTTTCAGCATTCCATTGGGTCCTGTCACATCATTAGCATTCATATACATAAAGTACGAAAGAGAATTGCTAGATGGGAAGCTTTTTAACTTTAAAGAAAGCCAACATCAAACAAACATCCTGATGATCTGAACCTCTGATATAAAATACTGGCATTTTGTGCAGCTGCAGCTTTGAGCCTGAAGTCCGCTTCAGTTCAAATATTCTCAGCACAGGTAAAGGCCCCAAACCACTCCCCGTATTTCTAAAAAAATGTCTATAATGGTTTAACTGTGCTTAATTAAACAAGAAAACCCAAGAAATTAAGATGCAGGAAAAATCTGCTATAATCACGGTGCTCTGTTTGTCAGGCAGTGCAGTGGATGGCCATGTTTCTCTACCTATTGGTTCTTCAGGAAAAGCACGCTAGGGAAGGGCAGCTTCCACATGGGAACAAGCTCCAGGACACATGAGGTTTCTTTGCAACCCAAACTTGCTGTGAACTGCAAAGCCAATTATGGCGCAGCCCAAACCGAGCTGATTGTACTCCGAGTACACAGAGGATGTGTCAGCAAAAGGTTTCTCCTAAAACCTTTCTAAAAAAACTCTAAGGCAGCGCAACCTGGGCTTTAAAAAAATCTGTCCCGACAAGATTCCTTAATCCAATAACTGTATAGATTAAGAGAAAAAATGCTTCAAATTCAATTTGGCATTCAGTACAAAGTTTGACCCCAATTCCCTACTGTAGGTTTTCATTCAGGTAAAGTTCTCAGCTAATCGGCACCCTCCTGTGCTCTTCAGGAACTCCTGACTGCAGTACCCTCCACTCTGCCTGAAGGCATCTCTATTTCAATGTCTCTGGGTTTCAAGGGAGAGTTTTCAGAATTCACCAAAGGTACAGCACAATAGCTCAGACGTATCTTCAGCTCCAGCCTCTGACACGGTGCTTTGAAGAGCCTTCAGGCAGCACAGAAGGTACAGCAATAATGCAACTGGCTAGATGTAAAGCACAGCGGGGTTCAGTCAGTACAGGCCCTGTGCTTTAATGCAGAATTAAAACTTATGCATTCCCCTCAACGATCTTTGCTTTTTCTGGCTTTGAAACTAACCCACTTTTCCTTTAGATCACTGCAAATGTACTTCATACACATCAGTTCTGCAAAACGACCTAAGCTACAAGAATCAAGAAAACCTCACAGGCAGTCTGAAATGCCCCGTGTTAGAATATCACTCCTTTAAACTCGCTATTATCCTGGCTGTGTGAAACACAGACATAACTCAGGTGCTTTGTTTGCCATGTCTGTTAGTACAGTATCCCTGGCCGCTGAAAGCTTTGCCTTTGAGAACTGTATTTAACACTTTGCCGTTTGAATCCTTACCCAGAAGTTAGCCCACGAGTGCTGTGGCCTTGGTATAAAAAGGCAGGACGGATTCTCTGTGTTGGCGTCCCTTTCAGAACAATCTCCGAGAACCCTGAGAACCAGGCTGCCCCTCAAAAATATCTCATATATTGCTATTACTGGACTATGCCACAAGAAAGACTAACAAGACTTACTGATGGGGATAGGCATGTTACTGGTGTAGTCCACAGCAACGCCAACAGGCAGAGTGTCATCGCTCTTATCTGTCACAGGTAGTTCAGCTCTGCTGGAGTCCTCTAAAACCCACGATTCCCAGTTCTGAAAAAAGTAAGATTATTAGTTTGACTACTGCTTTCTTGTGATCAGCCACCTTCAGAACTCTAGCCTACTACAGTTTGAAAGATAAGTCTGCAAAAAAGCTAGAGAGCGTCTGCTTCAGTTTGTCAGATCGACAAATGCCAGCAGTATCGGGGCCCTTCATGGATTTGTGTGTGAATTCTCACACACCATCGCATGCCAGAGTTAAGGTCAGACATTTTTAACGTGTAATTTCAACTGATGACCTCACACGAATCGCTTTATAACAGTGAGCTTGACTAAATTTTGAGACTGACAAATGAATCACAAAACCCAGACTTCTGGTACTTGGTTCACAACATACTGTGTTTCTGTTTATCCCTTCTCTTTTGTGTCACTTGGATCTCTTGTTCATCTAAGAACTATGCTTATCTTAAGATTCTGTATAACTCGGATGTAAAAAAGAAAGGGGTTTTTGTTTGGTTTTGGGGTGGTTTTCAAAAATACACCATCTCATTGTATTCCGGGTCTTACACAGGTCATACGTGCTCAGATTTTTGAGAAAGAGGAGATACATATGCACAAATGCAACAGGAACAAAAGTATTACCTGATCCCCTTGCCTGGCAAGAATGCTGACTTCTGTGGAAGCTGCCGAAGCTGCCAGAACTAGATCCCTGTAAGCACGGACACCAATAGGTTAAAACCAACATGACAATCCACGGCAACGTCCCCAGCTCCACAGTTCATTATCATCTATACAAATTCATAACTAGGAATACAGTTACAACAACATAAACTTGACTTTTCCTCCAAAGATGATGGAAACATGACTGGCTTCATCACTACAGAACATGCTTATATTTTTTTCTTTAAACCTAGTCACCAGGGGCTGAATCACCTTGCCAACCAATGATTGGACAGACCCTGTATCATCATAAATAATGATGGTCCAAGTCAGGTAGTTGAAAAGTTAGGAACAGCTTCTTCACGCAGATACACAATTAAGTGAGTCAAAAGGTCATGCTTTACCCAACCTATGACTTACAACCTCAAGGGAAATGGTTATGACAGACGTTAAACAATATTTTTTATGTACCTGCATGAAATCACATGAATGCTCACCAGAAAAAATGAGTATGTTGGCATGGAGATAGGGCACGCAGGAGGAATTAGCTGTACTTTCACAAAGCATTTTCAAAATAACAATTTCATTTCATTTCTCTCCTACTCCTCTAATACATCGTTTACAAAAAGGAGGAACACACTATCCAGAGAAGCACTGACCACTCAGACACGCATACCAAGGGAAAGCCCCTGCCATGATTCCTGCCACTCACCATTCCTCAACATAGTTGAGGAAGTAATGATGCTGTCTCTCCGTGCAGCTCCCATAGCAAGGCTCCATGAAATTCACAAACTTCTCTGGTCGCTTCTCTTCCTTTTTCTGTAAGGCAAACATTGGTAATCTACCTTCCAACACAGAAATCAAGTAATCTCCCATGAATATAACTGCATCAGGGTACACCAACAATTGCCACACACTTCAAGAGAGAACAGGCATCACAAGACCACTTGAAAACCAAAGAACAAAGCAAACAAACCAAAACCCTTCTCCAAAAGATAAGGGAGCTATGAAGAGGTTACCAGGGAATTCAGATCTCGCAATCCCCCGAGCAATGAATAACCTGATACTAAATAGGAGCCTATCATCAGGGCTAAAAATCTCCTCAACCTAACAAAAAAATTCACATACACACACTAAAAAATGTCAGGACTCTACATCAGGTTTTCTTCCAAGTGTTTACTGCAGAGGCCAGAAGTCACGGTTTGATCTCAGCAGAGAACAGGTTACTGCCTGGTTTTCATGTGGGTACTACTTCCTCCACTCAATCCCCTCAAACCCAAACCCATGATTTACAGTAGCACCAAACTCAAATTCTACATGGTGCCAATGTGAATAACAAAAGCCACCTGCCATTGGAATAAACAACCCAAGAACAAGCAACAAACCATTCTGTCCTCGTGACTCACTGGCACTTACAGGCAATATGGCTATGACCACTTCTGGAGGTGTCTCCAGGGTCCCATCAGCCGCTGCATACACAATAGTAAAGACATACGTGCCAATCCACAGTACATCCAGAACTGAAAAAGAAGGAAATAAACATTTCAGCCAGAAACTCCTTAGAATGATACTCCCTTGTATGTTGATTTTAACCGTGCACAGCACAGAAAAGTAAATGACAAACAAAGAAGGAATCATTAACTTGTAAACTAACAAGATGAAAAAATTTAGTCATTTGTCTGCAGAGCACCCATCTTGTTAGGGGGAAAAACTATTTGATCCCAGAAATTTCAAACACAAACCAAAACAACGTATCTGATCTGCTTGACGATATCACAGGCGAGACAATCCCGTTTCTGAACATGGATGATGTTCTGTCATACCCAAACAAAGTGTTTCGGCTTTTCTAAACTCACTGCTTTGATGTTTTATTGAAGACTCAAAACGATGAGACGAAACTCACACGAAACATGAGAATGGGATTCATATCCCGAAATCTTCATGCTAAAGGGGGATTACTTGTGACAGCACTGTCTATATCACATTGGTGAGCAAAAAATAGCTTTTAAAATGTGTATTTTAAACATTCTAGAAATAGACAAGGACCCTGGACGACTGGTCATTTTTCCACGCAACTGAGAGATAAAGCAGATAATTATTTTTTTCCAAATATTTTAAAATTACATAATTACGTAACCCATGCAGTATACAGCTGCTATAACTAAAATAACATGAGGAGGAATGAATATAAATATTTTAAAAGCGAAAACAAGTTTAAAAGAAATACAAAGATGTACCTTTAACAGGATTGTCCGAGTCATAGAAGGGAGGACAAGGGATTACTTTCTTCTCCTGCAGGTTCTGCAAATAGAACTACTCTTAAATACAAAGAAAAAGCCAACAAATAAAGCAACTGTAGGTTTTGGAGAAAGCCCAGAGGACTGGTTGAGAGCAACTCACCCACTCTTTAACACTCAGCATGTGCCACTCTGAAATCACGACTTTTCAGGGGCAGGTGCAAACCTTAAACTAAACCCCACATCGGTCTAAGACACTTGAGTATCACTGAAGCGCTGGGGCAGCTTCCCACGGCTCACACCATGGGCCACCTGACCAAAGTCTGGAGCTCATGAGGCAAAGCGAACAAAGCGTATTGCAAACCCGTGACCAGCCATAAGGCCTTACTACCAACAGTACTTACAGGCAGATATTGCACCACGGTGCCATTTTGCCTCCCTACAGCCAGTTGCTTCCCCTTTGGGCTCCAACACACTAAGCAAAAAAAAAAAAAAAGAGAAAGAGAATTTCTTTAGCACTAAGGAACTGGAGTTACAAGGCCCTACAAAAGCAGGACTGATAAATTAAAACCACATTTTTTTTCCCCTGCAAAAAATCATTAATCTTAAGTAAAAAAGCAGGGAGTCATCCAGTCACAGAGAAAGCAAGACTGAACAGATCAAAACCCAACAGATGACGACTCTTATTCACATGCTTCCTTGGAAATGGCAGTCAAGCCTGAGGCAGCACCAACCACAGGTGGGCACATCTGAGACTAACTCACAAGATGCAGCTCCTCCAACAAACTGGGCAAGAGCAGTTACACTGCAACACATTTTCCGAGTCTTGGGGAGTTTAAATCCTTCCTTTTTGTGAAGAATTTTCTTTTTTAAGAAACCTCCTCCTGAGACAAACAGCCTGTCTTTTTACACCTATCAACCTGCTTTACCCTTCAGTGGCTGACGCTCTGTACGCTACCCAAGGACACCAGATGTAACCGCCACGGAGGCAGGCAGCGTGGCGTACACCTTCACAGAGTCCGTGACCTGCAGGACAGAGATGCTGCCGTCGGACAGGCAGATGGCCACCATGGCGGGACTAGCGGGGTTCCACTTCAGGTCATTGACCATCGCTGCACTTCCCGAGTCCTTGGCCAGTTTGTGATAAGCAAAGGCACGTTTCTGCTGTTTTGCCTTTTAGGAAAGACAAATACACGATAGTCAAAGCTGAGCACAAAACCAAGTCCTCCCAAAGTCATGATTCAAAGAAGTTTTGACCTTCTTACGAATCAATGACTGACAAAAATAAGCAGCAGGTTTTGAGTTTACTGAACATTTCCTTTACGAGGCATCTCCCACAGAGAGACTGAAAATCCCACACAAGCTGTGCCTCTCCTCCTACTGTATTCCAAACAAAAACCCAACAGAAACCAAACCCACCTCACAGATGCTTTACCTGATTTAAGAATGTGCGGACATCAAAAAAGCCAATGAAGGAACCGATCTCACTGGACATCATACAGACAGACAGAGTGAGATTATCACAGCTTAGAGCCAGGTGTTGCACAGGAAACTTCATGGGAACTAAGGTGCTCTCAACATTCTCCACTTAAAACACAAAAAGAAAGGAAGATAAAATGAAGGAGACAAATTTCAATAGCAAGAACTGTTCTTGTAAAACACCACCATTAGAACGAGTTCATGCAAAAATCGCCAGTCCTGTTAACAGCAGCTCTCAAAGCTGACATGCGGAAAAACTGGGTAAAAGCAAACCCCTTCCCCTCTACCAATATAGTCTCAAGAGCTGCCACATTCCTAAGAAAGGAAAACTCCACTTTCCTTCCTCAGCAACCTGGTGGGAAAACAAGTGGGCAGATCTTTAGTTTTACTTATGTACGCACACGAACACTTGGAACGGTGCAGTTACTAAGGTCAACGGGAGAATGAAAACCATTTTGCACTTAAGGGTATTTTGCACTTTGGTGGTGGAACAGTGATTGCTTCCTCTCTTGCAGGACAGTTGTCTGGTCAGAGTGGATACCGCAGTGCGAGAACTCCATCCCCCTGATGCACGCACAGGTTCAAAGCCCAAAGACTGGCTACCAGGACAGCGCGTGGCTGCGAGGGAAGGGGTACTTTGGTTCTCAGCCAACCTCACTGGATGGCACTGAACACAGGTGACCAGAAGTGAATGATGCTTGAACAGGAGCTAGCACCGAGCATCCTGGTGACACGTTCCCTGCAACTGTACTTCATCTCACCCAGATGTACAGCAAACACTGTTCCTGCCCTCTCAAACAAGAAAACGTGGTAATTTCAAGCGTACAAAAGAGCACGACAAGCACCGTTATCAGAAGCCAACAGCTCCATATCACAAAACCCATATAAACCTGCCTCTGCAAAGACCATGAGACCTAAGTGTGCCTTACCAATTTCATTGGGATCTTCTCCCAGCTGGTTTTGCATGAGGAGATTCCTCGTGTGAAAGATCTGCAGGCTGGTTCCTCCACCAGCAAAGACCAGCCCATATTTGTTGGACACTGCAAGGAGACTGGAGCGCTCTTTGGGAAGATCATCAGGAGCATCAAAGATGCGGACCTTCTTCAGTGCTCTGAACTGAAAATCCTGTTGTAAGAGAGTTGGGAAGTAGCTGTACATATGCTGGCGAAGAGGAAGAGTTTACTTCAGTTTCTCTAAGACAGTAAGTTGAAAAGCCTCTCCACGAGAGCTGCAAAACACCTGCCAAGGCAGGGTCCACCCCCACGCTGTCACTGGCCATCCCATCCCACTTTCTGTCTCATCTAAGAAAGGCTGAGATTACACCATGGTTTTTTCCATTGGTTGAACAGAGGTTCACAGCAACCCACGTTCATAAAACCTGTGGGAGTTCAATCCGTCCAGGACATCTAACCCTCTCAGAAACACGCCAAAACTAGGCAATGCACAGAGAAGGGGGAAAAAAAAAAAAAAAAAAAGGAAAGAAGGGGACAAAGCAGAGATACAACTTAATTGAATTAAAACTTGTTGTCATAAAGTTACAAAGCACATATCTGCTTAGATACATCTTTGCTTGCTACCATCATTTATGACACACAGAACAGATACAGTTAGTACTTCCACCTATCCCCAGGAATTACTTTGAATAATCAGACTTATTTTTTTGCACTAGTTTCTCTCCTTTACAATGTAAAGGATAATTTACATTGTCCTTTTGAAAAAGGAGGAAGAGAAAAGTAGAGCAAGAGATTAAAAAAACCACTCAAAAAACACCAACTGAATTAAGAAACAGCAGTTGCACTATTACCATGCAAAACCTGGGGTTCCCCTTAGGAATGAGTCTCTCTTCCCAAGGCGCCAACTGTTGAGCAGAGCCAGTAACCCAGACCAAGCACCTGTGGTTTATTTCTAAATTATTGCCAAAGCACTGAGTAAGCACATTCCTGCAACCTGAGGAGGCTGCAGGAACTTGGAAACTTCTGCAAAATAAACAGCCCAACTCCCTTGTTTTTGAAGGTGCCTGAGCAGAAAGTAGCTGCACGAGGATCCACATGGGCTTCAGGAAGCTGTCCCTCCACCTCCCTGCTTACACAGCCTCACAGTAACGCTCAGGGAGACACAGTGATAGGCCTCACTGCAAAACCTCAGTTTACACCGTCCCACAGCAGACAACCACACATGCTGGTCCCAAAAGCAGGAGGTTCCCAGCACAAGGCATGCTGACAGGAAGACTTAGACACACGTCACTCCTCTCCCAAAATTAGGTTCCTCCAGCTCTCAAGTTCTGCCTCTCCTCCCCCAGGGGTTACCAAGACCCCTCTCCATCACAAGCCATGCCAGCCCCTCCATCTTCCCCTCCACAGGCTTGTGCCAGACTTTGCTAAGAAGCCCTCAAGCGCTTCACAAGCCCTACAAAGATGCCTCACAAGGCCCCC